ACACACATGAGAGAGGCGAGTGCCGGGGAGGGTGCAAAACTCCTCTCTTCTCGCGGTTGGTCCCGGCGCTTGTCGTAAGTCGCTCATCGGTACTAGGGGTTAACGCTGAGCAGGGCTGTGCGCATCCCACCATCAGCGCTAACTTCGTGGTCGCCTCAGCCTGTGACTGTTGTAATGGTGGAAGAACTCTTCCCTGCCCTTCCCAGCTAACCTGGGTTTGCAGACAGACAGAACACCCCCTTGAAGTGTGTTGCTTACCTTCCCTCCTCCCTACAAAAGGGCATTTAGACTGTAAATTAACTTCAAGCCCTTCAATCTTATTGGCAGATTGAGGTCTCTTTCTAAATGAAAGTGATGTTCAGGGACTTGGTTAATCTGCTCAATATATTGCTTCTTAATGTTGCTTGTTTCTTATATTGTTTTTTCTCAAGAGCAAGTAAACAAACAAGTGGAAGATACCTGATTTTGAAATGGTGGGGAGAGCCAAAAGCAGCTTGAAAGAATAGCAGATTATATTTGTGTACATTTGTGTATTTCAATATTTACTTTCAAATCTGAATCTTTTCTTAGGCTTTGTCTCTCTGCAGTGGCTGGTCTCATATGGATAGGCTCCTGCATGTTCTTAGATCAAGTTATGAAACCTCTGCCTTTACATACGACTTCTTAAAAGTCTGTTAGCTGGGAAAGTATCTTGTTTGGTTAAAAAAAAAAAGAAGTAATCCATTTGTTGTTTGTGTTTAACAAGAATATTTCTTAAGAGTTGCAGGTAATATGATAGTGTAATTTATTTTTTGCAAAAGGTATTTGAGATCTTACTGACATAACATGTGGAGTTCCCAGTTGATAACAGGGAAATGTTTTCCCTTTCTGTATCTGAATATATGCCTTTTATATTTATGAAAATGTTTAACAAGCAATTCTATAATCAACCCTTATGGTGTTGTGCTTGGAGATACCTTCGTGTGTGTGGAGAGTAATTTTTAAGTTTTAGGGCTGGGATTTCATAAAGGAGCTCTTCCGGTAACAGTACACTGTAGAAAAGGAAATTGGGACCACAGTTCTGCATCCATGTGACTGGAGAT